GGCTGATTTTGTACAGTAGAGCATCGTTGCTTTTCCAGAAATTCAAGGGCCAGTGTAGACAGCTCGCAGCTTATTCCAGAAAAGCGGCTGATTTTTCCGGAATAAGTGGCCCAGTGTAGACACAGCCCACTTGCGCTTCAAATTCCTTGATCCTTCTTCCCAGCGCAACATAATCTGCAGTGACCCGCTCAAGGCCATTCTTGACCTTATCATTAGTTCCCACATGGAGAAGCAGGAAGGGTAGCGATCCGAAGGTTTGATCAGTTTTGGAAGACTCTCATAGTATGTCTACACTACCCCGCTAGTTCGAACTAGGGTGGTAAGCCGTGCCCCGCGGCTACACGCGGCAGGGACTAGGTAGTTCGGACTAGGCTTCCTATTCCAAACTACCGTTACTCCTCGTTTCACTCCCCCGCAGTGCCTGTGCAGAGAGCCTGGCAGCGGTTACTTACCTCTACAGGGATGGGGGAGACCTGTCTGAGTCTCCCCTGCAGCCAGCTGAGTCCTGCCTGCTCTGCTTTCAATCCCCTAAAAACCAGCCCCCGTCTCCCAGCAGAGCCTCCAATACCCCCAGCAACAGCCCCTCCCCCGGCCAGTGTCTCTTTCCAGGTAACTGGGTCGCTGGCCCCTCCTCCCCTCCGTCCAATGTTCTCCCCTTGCTGGGACCCGCTGGGTCTCCCCTCTACAGCCCCTTGTCTGTCGTCTGGCTGGACCCAGCCATGTCTTCCGCGTGGGGTCTGCCGGTCGCCAGGGCACCAGTTCTGAGCTGTTCCCTGATAAGACTAACTTCCCCTCCTCCCCCGTCACATTAAACCAGTAACATCCGGGCACTGAGCCCCCTGCATGCAGCCCCCCTGAACTCCCAAAACTCCCCCGCTCCTCTCACCCTCCGTGGGGCTGGAGCAGCCTGGGCCCTAGGCTCTGGTGTGCACAAGGAATGTGGGAGGGTCCGTCTCCTTCTCAGTCGGGGGCCACGGCAGGGAGGGCTTGGGGGTTATTTTGCTTCTTGCTTGGGTGCAGCCCCCGACTGATTTTTCTCTGGGTCAGTGGCCCCCAGCCCTGCTCTAGCTGGTGGGGATACTCTTCTCCCACGGCTCATTGGGGCCATTGCTGGGTGCAGGCCATGCTCCGCGTGCTAGTTAGACAGGATGGACACTACCTTGTGGGCGTTGACAGGTGCACCCCCTTGCAAAGACAGATTCAGAGTCACTAGTCGGAACTGACGGTGCACAAACGGCCCTGCACGCCAGCACGTCTCCAGGCACGAGATCCGTTGCCATTGGTAACTGACCTACAGGATGACACACCCTCAGGCCGCTTGGATCAGGGAGAGTAGCCCTGTTGGAGAGCAGGAGAAGGTGGGAATCAGAGGGCCCCCAGCCTACAGAGAGGATCTACCGAGTCCAGGGCATCAGATCTTTACAGGGCACAAATAACAATAGAAGTGGGGCAGGAGTGAAGGCCAAAGGGCTAAAGCAAGGGATCCGGATGCATGAGCAGAGAGAAGAACAGAAATAGGCCCCGCAGTTGCTGACCCCTCCCTCAGCCAAGCTCTGCTCCCAGGTAAGGGAGAGTAGTGGAAGGCAGAGGTACCGGCGAACGTCCAACTCCCGGGGTCTCGTTCCCGGAGTTACCAGCGAACGTCCAACACCCGGGGTCTCGTTCCCGGAGTTACCGGCGAACGTCCAACATCCAGGGTCTCGTTCCCGGAGCTACCGGCGAACGGCCAACACCCGGGGTCTCGTTCCCGGAGCTACCGGCGAATGGCCAACACCCGGGGTCTCGTTCCCAGAGTTACCGGCAAACAGCCAATATGCGAGATCTCAGTTCCAAAGTTACCAGTGAACATCCAGCACGCGGGGTCTCATTCCCAGAGTTAGCAGCAAACGTCCAACATGTGGGGCCTTGTTCCCAGAGTTACTGGCGAACGTCCAACACGTGGGGTCTCATTCCCAGAGTAATTAAAACAAAGGCTACTCCAGGCTAATTGAGACCCCAAAAGTCCCAGAGTCAGCTAAGAGCATTAGGCTAATTCAGGCACCTGGTGTGAGATATTGCACGCACGCATGCACGGTTAGGCGAGCCTAGAGGAGCAGAAGGGCTACCAAAGGCCTGGGAAGTGCAAATGTCCAGAGGCTACCAGGTGGGACAAGCAAGGGGCCCCAGGGACGTGACCTCCCAATCGACACTGCATCTCAGTTAGAAGAGACCGACTGTTCTATTCCTCCAAGGGCCCTGGCCCGCAGCTCCGGGTTTCCTGCTCCAAGGGCCCTGGCCCGCAGCTCCGGGTTTCCTGCTCCAAGGGCCCTGGCCCGCAGCTCCGGGTTTCCTGCTCCAAGGGCCCTGGCCCGCAGCTCCGGGTTTCCTGCTCCAAGGGCCCTGGCCCGCAGCTCCGGGTTTCCTGCTCCAAGGGCCCTGGCCCGCAGCTCCGGGTTTCCTGCTCCAAGGGCCCTGGCCCGCAGCTCCGGGTTTCCTGCTCCAAGGGCCCTGGCCCGCAGCTCCGGGTTTCCTGCTCCAAGGGCCCTGGCCCGCAGCTCCGGGTTTCCTGCTCCAAGGGCCCTGGCCCGCAGCTCCGGGTTTCCTGCTCCAAGGGCCCTGGCCCGCAGCTCCGGGTTTCCTGCTCCAAGGGCCCTGGCCCGCAGCTCCGGGTTTCCTGCTCCAAGGGCCCTGGCCCGCAGCTCCGGGTTTCCTGCTCCAAGGGCCCTGGCCCGCAGCTCCGGGTTTCCTGCTCCAAGGGCCCTGGCCCGCAGCTCCGGGTTTCCTGCTCCAAGGGCCCTGGCCCGCAGCTCCGGGTTTCCTGCTCCAAGGGCCCTGGCCCGCAGCTCCGGGTTTCCTGCTCCAAGGGCCCTGGCCCGCAGCTCCGGGTTTCCTGCTCCAAGGGCCCTGGCCCGCAGCTCCGGGTTTCCTGCTCCAAGGGCCCTGGCCCGCAGCTCCGGGTTTCCTGCTCCAAGGGCCCTGGCCCGCAGCTCCGGGTTTCCTGCTCCAAGGGCCCTGGCCCGCAGCTCCGGGTTTCCTGCTCCAAGGGCCCTGGCCCGCAGCTCCGGGTTTCCTGCTCCAAGGGCCCTGGCCCGCAGCTCCGGGTTTCCTGCTCCAAGGGCCCTGGCCCGCAGCTCCGGGTTTCCTGCTCCAAGGGCCCTGGCCCGCAGCTCCGGGTTTCCTGCTCCAAGGGCCCTGGCCCGCAGCTCCGGGTTTCCTGCTCCAAGGGCCCTGGCCCGCAGCTCCGGGTTTCCTGCTCCAAGGGCCCTGGCCCGCAGCTCCGGGTTTCCTGCTCCAAGGGCCCTGGCCCGCAGCTCCGGGTTTCCTGCTCCAAGGGCCCTGGCCCGCAGCTCCGGGTTTCCTGCTCCAAGGGCCCTGGCCCGCAGCTCCGGGTTTCCTGCTCCAAGGGCCCTGGCCCGCAGCTCCGGGTTTCCTGCTCCAAGGGCCCTGGCCCGCAGCTCCAGGTTTCCTGCTCCAAGACCCTTGGCTCACAGCCCCGGCCCCCTGCGTCTGTGGCACTAACTTGCTGTCCTGTTTGCGGCACAGGCTCCAGCGACGTGCGCGGCATCCTGCTAGGTGACCCCAGTGAGATGCTGAAGAAGGAGGCCGAGCTGACGGCGCAGGTGCAAGTGCAGGTGAGGAGCAAGGCCTGGGTCGGGCTGCCTGGGGAGAGCCGGGTTTGTGGGTGGGGGCTCTGGGAACTGAGACTCGCCCTGTCTGGCAGGACGGGCTTGGGAGGTCTAGCTGAAGGTGAGACCTCCTCCTGGGTAAGTCCTGGGGTAGCTCTGGCCCCGAGTCGGGGCTTGTGGGTGGGCGGTGGGGGACGGCCTGGGACATGTGCTGCGGAATGGGGTGGGCGCTGAGCGGGTGCTGTGTGCCTAGGTCCCTGGTTCCCAGGGCCCCCCCGGGCGATGGGCAGAGCCCCCCGCGCTCTGGTGTGGGGGAGCAGAGGGGAGTCAGCAGGTCCCAGCCTCAGGGATGGGGTGGAGCCCGATGCCAGGCAGGATGAGGGTCTGGTCTCAAGGTGTGTGTGTGGGGGGGTCTCTGGATCAGGACCTGGTGTTCTGGCCCCAGGCGGGGAGCAGAGTGCGGGGAGGGGGATTCCCGATGGCGTCCAATGGAGGAGGGGATTAACCCCAGTGCCTGGGGGAGCGGGAGGGCAGCGGAGCCCACGTGGCGTGACGCACAACTGGCTCCTTGCTCGGGCAGGGCCCGCAGTTTGCTTTCTCCCAGGAGGAGTTTGGGAAGCTGATTCTCCCATCGCTGACAGAGCTCGACACCGTTCTCTTCCTCTTCACGCTGGATGGCGGTGCTCGCCGGGAGGGGGAGGAAGGCGTCGGTGCTCGCCGGGAGGGGGAGGAAGGCGTCGGTGCTCGCCGGGAGGGGGAGGAAGGCGTCGGTGCTCGCCGGGAGGGGGAGGAAGGCGTCGGTGCTCGCCGGGAGGGGGAGGAAGGCGTCGGTGCTCGCCGGGAGGGGGAGGAAGGCGTCGGTGCTCGCCGGGAGGGGGAGGAAGGCGTCGGTGCTCGCCGGGAGGGGGAGGAAGGCGTCGGTGCTCGCCGGGAGGGGGAGGAAGGCGTCGGTGCTCGCCGGGAGGGGGAGGAAGGCGTCGGTGCTCGCCGGGAGGGGGAGGAAGGCGTCGGTGCTCGCCGGGAGGGGGAGGAAGGCGTCGGTGCTCGCCGGGAGGGGGAGGAAGGCGTCGGTGCTCGCCGGGAGGGGGAGGAAGGCGTCGGTGCTCGCCGGGAGGGGGAGGAAGGCGTCGGTGCTCGCCGGGAGGGGGAGGAAGGCGTCGGTGCTCGCCGGGAGGGGGAGGAAGGCGTCGGTGCTCGCCGGGAGGGGGAGGAAGGCGTCGGTGCTCGCCGGGAGGGGGAGGAAGGCGTCGGTGCTCGCCGGGAGGGGGAGGAAGGCGTCGGTGCTCGCCGGGAGGGGGAGGAAGGCGTCGGTGCTCGCCGGGAGGGGGAGGAAGGCGTCGGTGCTCGCCGGGAGGGGGAGGAAGGCGTCGGTGCTCGCCGGGAGGGGGAGGAAGGCGTCGGTGCTCGCCGGGAGGGGGAGGAAGGCGTCGGTGCTCGCCGGGAGGGGGAGGAAGGCGTCGGTGCTCGCCGGGAGGGGGAGGAAGGCGTCGGTGCTCGCCGGGAGGGGGAGGAAGGCGTCGGTGCTCGCCGGGAGGGGGAGGAAGGCGTCGGTGCTCGCCGGGAGGGGGAGGAAGGCGTCGGTGCTCGCCGGGAGGGGGAGGAAGGCGTCGGTGCTCGCCGGGAGGGGGAGGAAGGCGTCGGTGCTCGCCGGGAGGGGGAGGAAGGCGTCGGTGCTCGCCGGGAGGGGGAGGAAGGCGTCGGTGCTCGCCGGGAGGGGGAGGAAGGCGTCGGTGCTCGCCGGGAGGGGGAGGAAGGCGTCGGTGCTCGCCGGGAGGGGGAGGAAGGCGTCGGTGCTCGCCGGGAGGGGGAGGAAGGCGTCGGTGCTCGCCGGGAGGGGGAGGAAGGCGTCGGTGCTCGCCGGGAGGGGGAGGAAGGCGTCGGTGCTCGCCGGGAGGGGGAGGAAGGCGTCGGTGCTCGCCGGGAGGGGGAGGAAGGCGTCGGTGCTCGCCGGGAGGGGGAGGAAGGCGTCGGTGCTCGCCGGGAGGGGGAGGAAGGCGTCGGTGCTCGCCGGGAGGGGGAGGAAGGCGTCGGTGCTCGCCGGGAGGGGGAGGAAGGCGTCGGTGCTCGCCGGGAGGGGGAGGAAGGCGTCGGTGCTCGCCGGGAGGGGGAGGAAGGCGTCGGTGCTCGCCGGGAGGGGGAGGAAGGCGTCGGTGCTCGCCGGGAGGGGGAGGAAGGCGTCGGTGCTCGCCGGGAGGGGGAGGAAGGCGTCGGTGCTCGCCGGGAGGGGGAGGAAGGCGTCGGTGCTCGCCGGGAGGGGGAGGAAGGCGTCGGTGCTCGCCGGGAGGGGGAGGAAGGCGTCGGTGCTCGCCGGGAGGGGGAGGAAGGCGTCGGTGCTCGCCGGGAGGGGGAGGAAGGCGTCGGTGCTCGCCGGGAGGGGGAGGAAGGCGTCGGTGCTCGCCGGGAGGGGGAGGAAGGCGTCGGTGCTCGCCGGGAGGGGGAGGAAGGCGTCGGTGCTCGCCGGGAGGGGGAGGAAGGCGTCGGTGCTCGCCGGGAGGGGGAGGAAGGCGTCGGTGCTCGCCGGGAGGGGGAGGAAGGCGTCGGTGCTCGCCGGGAGGGGGAGGAAGGCGTCGGTGCTCGCCGGGAGGGGGAGGAAGGCGTCGGTGCTCGCCGGGAGGGGGAGGAAGGCGTCGGTGCTCGCCGGGAGGGGGAGGAAGGCGTCGGTGCTCGCCGGGAGGGGGAGGAAGGCGTCGGTGCTCGCCGGGAGGGGGAGGAAGGCGTCGGTGCTCGCCGGGAGGGGGAGGAAGGCGTCGGTGCTCGCCGGGAGGGGGAGGAAGGCGTCGGTGCTCGCCGGGAGGGGGAGGAAGGCGTCGGTGCTCGCCGGGAGGGGGAGGAAGGCGTCGGTGCTCGCCGGGAGGGGGAGGAAGGCGTCGGTGCTCGCCGGGAGGGGGAGGAAGGCGTCGGTGCTCGCCGGGAGGGGGAGGAAGGCGTCGGTGCTCGCCGGGAGGGGGAGGAAGGCGTCGGTGCTCGCCGGGAGGGGGAGGAAGGCGTCGGTGCTCGCCGGGAGGGGGAGGAAGGCGTCGGTGCTCGCCGGGAGGGGGAGGAAGGCGTCGGTGCTCGCCGGGAGGGGGAGGAAGGCGTCGGTGCTCGCCGGGAGGGGGAGGAAGGCGTCGGTGCTCGCCGGGAGGGGGAGGAAGGCGTCGGTGCTCGCCGGGAGGGGGAGGAAGGCGTCGGTGCTCGCCGGGAGGGGGAGGAAGGCGTCGGTGCTCGCCGGGAGGGGGAGGAAGGCGTCGGTGCTCGCCGGGAGGGGGAGGAAGGCGTCGGTGCTCGCCGGGAGGGGGAGGAAGGCGTCGGTGCTCGCCGGGAGGGGGAGGAAGGCGTCGGTGCTCGCCGGGAGGGGGAGGAAGGCGTCGGTGCTCGCCGGGAGGGGGAGGAAGGCGTCGGTGCTCGCCGGGAGGGGGAGGAAGGCGTCGGTGCTCGCCGGGAGGGGGAGGAAGGCGTCGGTGCTCGCCGGGAGGGGGAGGAAGGCGTCGGTGCTCGCCGGGAGGGGGAGGAAGGCGTCGGTATCGCCAGGCACTGAGGGAAGGCGTCAGCGCTCGCCGGGAGGGGGAGGAAGGAGCTTTTGTTCCCCTGCTGAGCGATCGATCCCCTTGGCCTCTTGCTGTGGGTCTCTGCCTCTGTTTGCTGAACGGGTGGTTACCTGGGAAGGGTGAGGAACGGGACAGGACAGGCAGGTTTCCCTTCCTTGATCCGAGGGGCCCTTGTCTGCACCGGGCCCGGTGGGAATCCATCTTTGTTCCACACGGGAGCCCAGAAGTCTCGCCAATGGCACTAGCATGTCCCTGTCCTTACCGGACACGGTTTGTCTGTAGCTGTGCGGTGCATCCCAGCCGTGCACTAGCCGTTAGTAAGCCATAGCCACCAGCCAGTACGCCCGCATCTCTCTCCTGCTCCATCCCATCCCCTGGACACCTTCCCAGCAACCAGGGTGGGGTGCGTCCCAAGGAGCATGGCCGTGCACTCGGCACTGCTCGGTTTCATCCTAGGGCTGTTGCTCTGATTTCCAAGGCCATCTGGGTGGCCTGTACGACGTTCCCCCCCCACACACTAGCAACACCCTTTCACTGCCATGCTGTCCCCTTTTGCTCAGGAGGCAGGCTAGGGAACGGCTGCACTCTGCCCATTCGCGGCCCTGGCGCCCAGGGTGCGACAGACGGCAGGCGGGCGGGCCAAGCTCTGGCGGGGGGGCCAAGCTCTGGGTTTCTGTGGCCTCTGCAGCAGGCCGATGGCAAATTGCCCATGGCTCTGCATTGCCGAGAGACTTGCCTGTCTCATGCTCCCTCCGGCCTTCAGACGACCTGACGGAGGTGGAGAAGCTGGTGGTGCAGGTGAAGGAGAAGACGCCGCACGTCCAAGCGCTCTCTCACGCCACGGTGGGGCAGTACCTGCCGGTGAGTGCGGGGCTCTGGCTGTGGGA